AAAAATTTTTTGAGAACAATGCAAATACTAATTTTAAAAAATCAAGTGGACATCTTCCCAAATCATTGAAAAGTTGCAACAAGTTTACAGGAATGCGGGCCCACAAAAACTATAGTTTATTAGATGGATTAAGCATGTTTAAGAAAGATTGGGAAGATCGTAAAAATGAGCCAAGAGAGGGAAGAACTTTAACCTTGATGAATGATGGAATTGTGGCTAACATCTAGAAATCTGTGGAAGAAGACCATAAAATTACCACTAAAGTGATGGATACAGAATTTGGGATCTCACAAAGTTGGGTGTTTTTGATGTTCCCAACAATCTTGGCTTCAGCCAGCTTTCAGTTCAATGGGCGTCACCAGTGTAAAGTGAAGATGAGCTTTTGTATCATTCAATTAGGCACAATGGAAGGTAATGAAGATGATTTTATTAAACACATCATAACCAGGAATGGGTTTTGGATTTACCATTTTGCCCCGGAAGCAAGCTCTAGGCAAAACAGAGACATGGGAACATTACCTTCACAAATGTATGGACAACAATGAAGGGTATGTTGAGATACAATAGCTTCACACTCCATTATTTTTCTTTACTTAGGTTTCTATGGTTTTGTAACAACGCTTACTTGCCCTCACAAAGAGAAGTATGTATTCAAGGGAAAGTTAAAGAGATGGACACACTGCCTTCAGAAATCTATATCTGCATATAGCTGGTAGATAGATCGAAAGAGAGATAGCCTTGTTAGGCTGCTAACCACAAGATTAGTGGTTGAAACACCTCAGCTTCACCGTGGAAGAAAGATGGAGCCGTCTGTTACTATAAATATGAGTAGTCTCAGAAACTCTATATGTATAGGGTTTCTATGAGTTGTAAGTGACTAGATGTCAGTGGGTGATGATAGAGATAGAGATAGACATAACAAAAATCAACCCAAACCAAGCCTACTAAACACACACACACACACACACACACACACACACACATATACACAGAATTTCTGAGGTTGTAAATATTTAAGGGAGAAGACAGCCTCATCTTTTTCTCTTGGAGTAGCTGGTGGGTTTGAACTGTAGACTTCTCAGTTGGCAATCTAATGTTTACCCAACAGAACCACTAGAGCTCCTGTTATACAAGGAAGCTTCAAAAAAATTCATGGACATTTTTCATTATCTTTTAATTCCATTCTTTGAATGAGTGTTTGGATCCCCCTCATATACCTATATGTATATGTATATATAATTGTTCTCCATCTTTTAAAATATCTAGCTACACTTTATCAATATTTTACATTAATATTGAAATCAAACTTCAAAGGGAAGAAATATAATTTCTCAATGAAGTGTTTTTTATCAAACCTAATTATTCGTATCTAATTTTTCACAGTGTGCTCAGGCATAGGAACAATTGTGAAGATGGCATGGAATCAGGCAACATCTCATTCTGTGGTGCAGAGGATTGCCATGGGTTGGAATCAAGTAGATAACAACAACCACAACCACCACAACAACAACAAATACGCATTCATTGCCTTGCTTGGAGATGATGATTACATTTATGTCAGTTGTATCTCTTTAATTAAAAAAATAAATGCTATATCAATCAAAGCAGGAAATACAGATGCATACATTAATACGTAAATTGAGATGACTGCTTGCTGCTCCTAAGGCAATGCTATCTTTTCTTCTGGTGCCCTTTCCCATGATGTAACAGTGCCACTCAATGTGTCTTTATAAAAAATCATTCCATGTATGCATTTACTGGATATGGATTTTAGAAAAATAGAACCCATTTCAGAATTAGAGTCAGAGTAGAAGCCTTGGTCGAGAGATATAAAGTTTTGAAGTGGACATACCTGAATTCAATTTCCCACTAGATCATCGTAGGGTGGTTAATGCATTTCTGTCAGATCCCTTTAGTAAAATGGATGTGCATTATTAAGCTCAGAGCCAGATGGAATAGTGCAAGCAGGTACTCAATCTATATTTGATGCTCAATAAATGTTATCTCTTGGCGTTGTGATGTGTAATTAATATTGTCCCATAGGAACCACATTGCCATTCAGCAGTGCTCCACAATGCCATGCTTGCACGATGGATTGCATGCGCATGTTTCCTATTTAGATGACAAACTCTTCTGATAAGATATGAATGTAATTTATGGAACGCAGAACAACCATCTCAAGCAAGGGCTGTGCCACGTCTGGAGTGGGATTTGTGAGGGCGCATTTCCTTCCCCTTTCCCTTCCTACGGCTTCTTCATTCAGCACCCACTCCCCTCAAGTGGATTCCGACTTAGAGCAGAGTGGAACTGTCCCTTAGAGCTTTCGAGACTGTACATCTTTACAGGATCAGACCGGCTCATCTTTCTCCCATAGAGCAGCTGGTGGGTTTGCAATTCCTGCCTGGCGGTTAGTAGCCCAAAGCTTAGGCCGCAGGACCTCCAGGCTCTGTGAGAGGGATATACGAAGTGTACAGTCCCAAGGCCTTTTTTACATACTACTTTTGGAAATAGAATACATAGAAACAGCACATAATGAACAGTAGTGATATCTGGAATTGTGAGGGATGCTTAGAGAAGGAAAATTCATGGTGAGCAAACATATTCATAAAAAGATTGGTGAAGAGAATGATACTTCAGGTTCTAATGGAGGAAAAAGAGGGAATCATTCCTGAGAGGAGCCAGACCAACTGATCCAGCTGAAACACCTGGGAAAGTTGGCAACATTTAAAAGATGAGGAATAAAAAAAGAGGTAAATGAAAGGCAGCATCTTTACCCCTAATGAACTGGCCATCTGTTAGGATGCGTTCAAACTAATGAGCAGGGTGAGATCCAGCCTGGTTCCACACATAGGGATAAGCTAAGACGTACTTTCTGAAGATGATCAATAGTTTGTATCCAGTTAATTGCCAAAATGAAATAATTGCCTTAAAATTCCTGATGATAGAATTAATTTATAGTATAAAAGATTGATCTCCACAATCTATGTATTTACATAAGAATAAGTATACGTAATAATTTAAAACAATCTACGTTTTGCTATCTTGGCTTTTTGTTTTTTACAGTAGGAATAAAGGACTCTTAAAAACTATTTAATTTCCATAGGAATCAATTCAAGGAACCACAGGAGTTCTATATACACAACTTTACTCAGTAGGAAGACTAATAGCCCAAACTCATTTAATTTTACATTTTATTGTAATGTAGAGTTTGTTATTCTAAAAGATTTGAAATGTAAACTTGATTAAAGCAAACAATAAAAAGCAAAGCCCACAGAGTGGTACCAAATCACTCACATGTTGCACACTATATAATCAAGCATCACATTAAAAAGAGCAATAAGCAGAATAACCCTGTGAGAACTGAAAGCACAAGATTTCAGTTGGTTTTCATATTAAACTGCAGGAATAAATAATTGAAATATACGCTGCATGTATTTCAGAAGACGAGCTTTGCTACATCATTACAGAAGAGTCCAAAGTTATAAAGTCAATTCGGTTTTCAGATAGTACATGCACTATGTACCTATCAGTCATGCAGACGTATGAATCCTTTGATATTCAGGTCAGGCATTTTCCGTCAGTACTAGGGCAGATCACCAGAGCCAGGCCATAAAATAGCAGTGGCTTAAGGAGCATGTTTTCTTTTTTCTTTTTCAACCATTTTATTAGGGGCTCATACAACTCTTATCACAATCAAGGAGCATGTTTTCAAAGGAAGTTTTATTCTCGAAAGTATCGTCAACACACATGCGCACACACATGCGCACACACATACATGTGCCTGCACATGCATGCCCATTTCCTTTCTGATGCTATCTTAACCTGCCAAATGATCTAAAGGTATTTGAACCAAGTGCTATGCACATGTGCTTTGCAATTTTGTTCCCTGAACGCTGTCACGTTTTAATGCTAAATGAAAGTCCTGACAGAAACTTACAATTAATTCTCCGGAGAAAAAAGAGAAAGAAAAAGCATGTCTGTGGCACAGTTCATACACAGTCCAGTGAATAATACCTTGATCATAGTCCTTAGTGGCTTAGTCCTTTGAACAATGTATTTAGAACTGTATATCTTTTATTATTTCTTTTAATGACTGTTTTAAATGCTGCCACCCTTTCATACAGTTCCTCATGTGGTGGTGAACCCCCTACCTTAAATTAATTTTCATTGCTACTTCATCACTGTAATGTTGCTACTGATATGAATCGTCATGTAAATATCTGATAGGCAGGATGTATTTTCATTGTTACAAATTGAACATCATTAAAACAGTGCTCCATTGCAAAAACAATATGTAATTATATATTGCAGAATATTTATTTCTAATGACAAATAAATGGAATTTTGTCCTGAAGCCTGGTGTAGCATGGGTAACAGTCTTCATGCAGGGTACTCATATGTGGGTGTATCTGCGTGTGGGTGGACCCGCCTGGATATGGATAGGGGAGTGGTGTCTCTGTTCCTAAGACCATCAGAAATATGTGTTTTCTGATGGTCTTTGGCGACTCCTGAGAACGAAAGGGTCGTTCTCTCCCAAAGGGGTCATGACCCACAGGTTGAGAACCACTGTCAACATGAAATAAAATCAATAGCCACTCATTCTTTGGATGAACCAGTCATCAATTTCCTTAAATTGGGAAAAGTACAGATAGAAAGGCCTAACAGACAGAAGGACTTGTGTTCCCTTCTCAGCAGGTACCCTAAAGTGGGAGAAAGAAGGGAGTTCGGTATCTTGGATGAATTGCTCCCCTAAAGGATGCTCTGGGATTCAGGGACAGCACCAGGGCAGATGCCCAACTCAGAGCTGGTAGTCCAGCCCAGCTTCCCCCAAAGTTTGGAACCAAATGTGATGAAACTCCAAAGAGCATCTCTATTCCAAGCAGCAGCTGCCTCTGAGGAAAGAAAGGCTCCCTGGACCACGTGATCCAAGCTGCAAGAAGCGCCCTAGCACCCTGTGCTGCCCTCGCAGAGCCTGGGAGAGTCACGGGCGGAAATCCTACCTTGATGAGAACCCGGATGGCCCCCGTGGCTTTCGCAGATATGAAATACCAGAAGCTCATGGTGCACGCGGCGCTGGATTCCTGCCACACAGCACTCCTCAGGTGCGCTTCCTCCCCCCGCAGGCCCACCGGGGTAGCCTCCAGATACAAGAAGTGCCCTAGAACGGACAGGATAGAAACAACAAGGAGGGCATGATTTCAGCGTTTCCATTTTCGTGAGCGTTTTAATCACATTTCGTCCAATCTGATCTGCCACAAGCATTTTCATTTGAAACTGAAAGGGAATCTAATAGCCTTGCCTCCAGCTCATTCAGTGAACAATTTCCAACTGTCTGGGCTTTTAGCAAAGTACTTCCCAGTATTCAGATTAATTGATCTGACAGGATACGTAAGCCATCAAATCGCCAAGGTAGTTATGGACATCATTTCATAAATTTCCCAAACTATGCATTCATGGTAAAACAACAATGCAACAGCTATCTAGAATCCAAATAAGGGGATATGACGTACTTTCAAACTCAGTGATCTGCTGGGAGTGTATGTGCAGCATTACAATCCACAGTGTGAGTGGCCTTGTACTAATGTCACACTTGCTTTTTCAGATATCCCAAAACATTTTACCTACAGACAGTTGAGTGTCTGAAAGGGGATTTAGATTCTGACTTGGCCATCCCGATTTGTCTGGATAAGAGGCTTGTGGAATTTCAGTGTTTCGGGAGCATTTCTGGAACATCCAGGGACTGTCCTGGGAGCACCCTGGTTAAAGACGTGGTTGCTAACCAAGAGGTCAGAGGTCGGAACAACTGGTCACTTGATGGGAGAAAGATAAGTCTGCTTCTATCAGGGTTTACAGCCTCACACACTCAGGGTTTACAGCCTCACACACTCAGGGTTTACAGCCTCACACACTCAGAACAACAACAACAACAACAACAACAACATCCCTGTGCTGGTGCCTTCCGATCCTCAAACATCTACTAACCTAAAGATGAGTCAGACCAAACACCCCTAAGACAACTGATGGTACTCATGCATTTGCACAGCCTCCTTAGTTTCCGACTGCTTTCCCATAGTCGTCATTCTACATCACCTCCTTTTATCTCCCCAATTCTATTTCATCCTTAGGGCACATTTTGAGAGATGAGGAATGTAAGACTCTGAAAAGGTATATAACTTGATGATAATCAATCAAGTGGCAAGATTTTGACTATTGACTACAAGGGTCTGATATTTAAGACCGATGTCTGATGACAGAACACATTATCATGTATTTACAATGCTCAAAACCCTCGTTAATATTAGGTTTTCATGACTCTCCCAGGCCTCCTTTACTTGCGCTGGCACCTTGATGGTCTGCCTCTCCAGCGTTCTCCAGTTGCTTCCAGGGAACCCCATGTGATGTGCACTGTAGGTAAAGATTAGAGCTGGGGCAACATGCTAATAACTTACCATGTTCATTTCCCAGTGTGTGGTCCTTTGGAGGCCGTAGGCTTTGATGAGAGCCAATCCCTAAAACCCAATCGAAGTTTTCAGCCATGGAGTTTTGCCAGCCACACCAGCCTCTCTCAAAAGTGCAAGAGCTGCCACATTCATGTTCATCAGTGTTGTCTCCACAGTCGTCCACAAAATTACAGCTCTGCTCTAGCCTGTAACATTTGCCATTCTGACATTGCCGAGAACCCTGCGGGCAGTGACCTAAACAAACAAACAAAACAAAAGCAAGGCAAAGCATAAACCAAAAATAAGAATGAAGAAATGCCACTCAGTGAGGTCAAAATCTCAAAACTCAAATAATTTAATGTTCACGTTCATGTAAAAAGGATATAGTGGTGTAAGGAGTCTGAGGCCTAAGCTCCACCAGAGTTCAGAGATTATTCACAAGGGGAGCCGGTGGGGGGTGGGGGGTGGAGAAAGAAAGACATGAAGTATCACTGTATTGATCTAAGAGGGTACCTCAAGTGAAATAATTATTTTAAGCTGTGATGATTATACCTACATGGAATAGTTATTTTAAGCTGTGATGAAGGTATACATTTAATCTGACAACCCAAATGAGGCCTTCCATATTCATCCTTTAGGGCTGGAAGAGTTCATGTATTGTGCAGTCATTACCAGTGCATTCCATCAGGCTCCCTCACACCTATATTTATCCGACATCAAGCACACCTAAGATACTGCTTCAGAAGCAGTGCCAGGCATATGTGCAATGATGGAGTTCCTACTCCATTGGTCTCTAAATGCTACATTTTCTCTATGTGTCTTTACTAATGGTTTGGAATTTTGGAAGCAGCTCTCCTATGAACTATGCACATGGTGTTTATCAACTCTAGGAGAAGAGCAAAGCTTTTGATGGCCAAGGGCCTGAGTTTCACCTCTGGTGCTTATGACTGTGAGCTATATAACTTGACTCCTACTTACACCTAATGGGTTTTAATTTGGCTCTGTAAAAGAGAAAAAACAACAAAGTTCTAAGATGCCAAAAATAATTAAAGAGCATCCTATAGATATCATCAATGCCCTTAGTAGGCAGCCAGGTGAATTGGTTGAATATTGGTGGAATACTTGTTTAAGAAAAAGTAAGGGACTTGGACATGATAAGGCAGTTCAATATATACAAAATGCTATTAGTATATTGCTCCAACAGTACAACAGCACATGACCACTGTACCAGTCAACTCCTAGACTCATGAGCACCCCATAGCCTCACTTGCTTCAATAGCTAGTTTGTTCTTGTTTTAGCAAGTAAAGCATTGGGCCTCTCTTCTGAGGAATTATGGCATATTCACATCTCCAACTTTTCATTTAGTTGCTAGCATTTTGAACATTTGACCCTCCTAGGACACAGATCCTACATGACATTTCAGCATGGAAAGTTATCCTGAGATCCAACCGAGGCCATTAGTCATGTTTGTTTTCTGACACGACAGGATCAGAGACTTTCTTTCTTTCACTCTTTTCCACCTGTCAGGACAATCACTGATTTCAACAATGCCTGCTTTGCATCATAGGTGGTAGTTCCTTTGACCTGAGGTGAGTTACCTGGTTGTTAAGAGTTGGTGTAGCATAGAGGCAGAGGCTCATCTTGTGAGGACTTATTGTAAGAGATTCTGCAGACCTAACATGGAAGCTCTGACGTCTTGGAGTCATCGCTCATTTTAAACTGTAGTTGACCAAGAGATAGATGAATGTGATGCCATATTGAAGGTACCATGGAGAAAACTGGTGTTTTCCATGGAAGTCACCATGGGGAATGTGAGACACATAAAGGTTCCCAGCCTTGTCCTTATCATTCCAGGTTAGCCAATTACGCGTTGTGCTTGGTTTGTCGAGGTACACGGCTGGCAGAAACCATCCTAAGACTCTCACAGCTGCAGGCTGATGGAATGGAAAGGTGAAGCAAGAAGTGGAAATACCACAGGATGGTCGGTTCATAATTTTGTGGATCCAAGGTCAGTGAGAATATGGCAGACAGCCCAAAACTCCCAGGTCAATGGTCCACACGGGGTTGCCCCTGGTGACAGACACAGAACCCAAGCAAGGAGGAAGGCAGAGGGCAAGCAAGAGAGGAGCTCAGTGTCTCTTATAAGAAGTCCACCTCCCAACAGAGGCACCATCAGGCCGTGACCTGATTAATAGGGTGACCTCCACCTCTACACGTTCATCCAGGTACAAGTCGACATGAAATCTACCCACCGCAATAACACAGAAATGTTTTTGAGCTAGACAAGCGGGATGATGAGTACATTAGTCTTTTACAGATGAGAAAAGGGAGGCTTAGAGTTTTAAAGTGAATTTCTTCTTTAAAGACAAACAAGGAAGCGGAAACAAAAAGGGAAATGCAATGTGAATCCAGGTCTGTTGTCTTTACAATTATTTTTAAAACCAAAAAGAACAGGGAGACCAGAGTAACAATCTCAGGCACACCATCACCGCAACACACATACATGAAAAGTGGTGCTTCCTTCCAATTGTTTCTCATGAGGAGATTAAGAACCTAAGAAATTACTAGATCATTTCGTTTTATACAAGTTGGCATTTGTATTGATTCTGCTCATTTTAATTTGCTTGGGTAATAAAACATAGCTAGTTCTTAAAATGTTTTGTCCCATTAGTGGTAGAATCAAGATAAAATCTAATTTTATAAAAACAAAGCAGAATATAATTTGGACATCTTCTTAAAAGGAAAACACATTACAGCACACAATACATTTCACTGTCAATATAGATAATATCCTAGGCAAATAATGATGATTATATTAAGTCTTTACAGAAGAATAATTTTGAACATAAAGTCTCTACAGTAATAGCATAATCACTGCTGAATTGCATATTCCTCATAAAATAACACACAACAATGCCTTTTGGGATAAACTTTTAGAAAAGTGGTCAACTAACGTTATTTACCTATCTCCAAAGCATTTCCTATGGCTGTGGTCTTTGCCCAAGAAATCAGCTGCCAAAGAGTTGACGGTATACATTTAAGTGATCCTGATATTAGAGCCCTAGGAAATTACGGAGCTTTGATTTCTATGTAAAAAATATTCCTTACATTAAGCAGTGATCACTTTGGTGAGCAGCTTAATTCCAAAAGGATAAGCATAAAACCTCTGATATATGAAAGGACTTCAAAAAGTTTGTGTACAAATGTCATTTCTCAAGTCCATTTTGAAGCTTCTTGTGTATGTTGTACCCATTTGAAACTTAACATGTCAAAATCCAAACTCTGAGGCCTCACTTCAAATGCCCCCCGCACCCCCCCTGCAGTCTTCCTCAGTTCTGTTCATGGCAGTTTTAAGCTCCCTTTTCACCCAGGGAAAGTGTTTGATTTGATGACTAAGGGGTTGTAAGCTTAATTCTTCCTTATAACCCCTAATCCTACACATAGGAGCAAGGTAAGGAAGCCCAATCTTACTCTTCTGGTGGGAGATTCAAATAATGCATTCCCTATAGGTATGCTGGAACCTTCTGTTGGTCCTACATCCTGACCATTATAAAAAGACAACTGGTTCTCCTTTGCTTGCTCTTTTGAGCCATTTTAAAACCTCCTGCTTGACCTCAGGAAGCCTCATTATATAATTTGACTTCTCTGACCCACTTGGTGAGTGTAGAAGGTAGCATTGTCACTCACTGTCTATGTCCATGCCTGCGAGTGGTTTTCTATCTCACAGCTCACATATAAGCTTCCAATGATTTGGGCAACTGTCATTCCTACCTGTGTTAGACAGGGTTCTCTAGAGAAACAAAACCAGAACACTAATCATTTTATATACATTTATACAGATAGATATATAACATAAGAAGTAAACAGTTAATTAAATTACAAAGCAGTACAAATGGCTCAGTGTAACTCACTCCCGTGAGACAGTTGTGAGACACTGGCAGTCCTTCAAGTCTTGAAGGCTGCCAGGTAGTCCTCTGTAGAGCAATTGAGGCTATCTGGGCACAGGCATCAAACAGCAAGGCAATTCACCAACAGTCAGCCAGATGTCATAGTCCGACAGTCCCCAGCTCAAGAGATGAAAATTCCAATGGTGTGGCGAGGCAGGTATTGAAGGAACTAGATGTCATGGTCCGATAGTCCCCAGCTCAAGAGATATAAATTCCAATTGTGTGGCAAAGCAGGTCTTGAAGGAACCTCAAATTACAGCCACACAGTCCA